GGGATTAGGAGGGATTGCAAAATCACTTGGAAACTGACTCAAAAATGTAAAATAAAGTTTGAAACACTAAACTAGACTCAAAGAATGCAAAACAAAACAATAAAAACACTAAAACAAATCAAAAGACTCAAAACAGCCCCAAAACACTCAAAACTGCCTTAAAATCACTTTCTGGGCAGTTTTGAGCACTTTGGTAACTTTGGACGAAATTGGGTAATAGAATGAATCAAAATGCTTAAAAACACAAACTAAGATACTTTCTAACTAATTTGGACACTAAAGTAAAGGGGGATTGAGGTTTTGACGAAAATAAATTAAATGCACAGATTGTAAATTTAAGGCAGATTCTAAAGATGAATTGAATGAAATTATGGATGAATGCTAGCTAGAAGGTTCTTCTCCACACATGTCACACTTGCATACACTTTGATTTTCAGTTGGTCTTTCGATGAATTATGAAACTCAACACTCCGGGTTAATTAGGTCCGCTTAAATTAACCGTCAAGTTTTCCTTAAGTTAATGAATTGGATGAGTTAGCGCAACGCAATTCAAAACATTCTCCAAAAGTCCTTTACGTGAAAAGCACAATAAAGATACAATCACAGATCATTAAGCATCATGAAAACTATAAGTGTTGACGAGGCATTCGTTACTATGATGAGCATGAAACTAGTGCCAAGAATTCATTTAACGCGATTGTTTATAAGCAACCTCCACTACTTGTGAATATAAGTTCATAACTATTAGGTGAAACTCACTTATATTCTAGCGTCAAATTCATGCATGAACATTAAGCGTGCACTCTCAATAAACATACACAAACAAGTTATCAATCAAACAGTTAAACGTATTGAATTCAACATTCATGAAATTCCAACCAAAAGTAATCAATTCATATTGCAAGCATAAACATGGTTTCGAATCACCCCCTAGCTAACTAGGGGGATTTAGCCTCTCATAGTCACAAAAAGAGAAATACAATTGAATTTAAACATAAAGCACAAAGGATTGATTACACCTAGAACGCACGATGAATCCACTTGAATTTCCACGCGTCGAAGCTCCTCTTTCCTCTTCTCCTTGCTGCGGCAGAGAGGTTTTCTTGTGTTTTTGGATGGTTTTCTGGGTTAGGGATGGATTTAAGGATGTTTAGTGGTGCGGCAAAGTTATAGGGTGGTGTAGGGTGGTTTGTAAGGTGGTGGAGAGTGGTGGAGATGGCTGCGGCAGTGATGGGAGTGGCTGGAATGGTGGAGGGAGATGGCACGACCAAGGTTTTGGGTGATGGTGGCTGCAAGGTTTTGGAGAGAATGGAGGGAATGGGTGGCTGCGGATTCAATGTGTATTAGGGTTAATAGGATTGACGGCTTAAGGTTATGGAATGAGAGGTGAATGGGAGAAAGATGTATGATGGTGTGTTAGGGTTAGGGCCTTACGGTTTATGAATGAATGGGAGATATGTGGGAGTGCACGGATTGGGGAGTAATGGGAGAGAATGGTGGCTGATGAAAAATATGAATGAATTAGGGTGTTAAGGTGGCTGATGAGAATATGAATGAATGGTGTAGGCTCTAGGGTTAAGAACAAGGTACGGCTGAGATGGATTCTTGGGTTATTAGGGTGAAAATCAATGGGAAGCTTGCGGATGGAAGAATGAATTAGGGTGAATGGTTTTTTAGATGGGATTTGCGGCTGAAAATGTGTGGCTGAATAATTGGAACCCCTAGGGTGCGGCTATGGTTTAGTTTAGGAGAGAATTAGGATGAAAATCTGAATGGGAGAATGAAAAGTGACGGCTAGGGTGAAATGAAAGGGCAAGGTGGCTGCAAGGTTAGAGGGCTAGGGTTTAGAAGCATGGATTTGGGCCTAAATGCCCCCCCTTGCACGGCAAGGGAAAGGACTTGGGCTAAAGCCCACGGCAAAGGATGTTAAGGGCCCTAGGGCCTTCGTTTTGTGTCCTAAAGCGCCTACAAGGACTTCAAAGTGGCTAGAAAATACGGACGTTTAAGATTAGGAAAGGTTACCAAAACAGGAAACTTAGGGTTAACTTTCCTAAAATAGGAAGCCTTGTTTGAGTAGGATTCTTCGTTTTGGTAAGAATTCATCGTTGGCGTAGGAATTCGTCGTTTCTTCAAGTCTTCAACTCATTCATTCCTCTTTTGCTCCAAAAGACTCCAATTTGCATCTTCTTGCACACTTTGGCCTTATAATCTGAAAATACACAAAAGTGGCCTTAAACACTAAAACAACTAAGTAAACACAACATAAATGCACGAGAACAAGCTAATTAAGTCGCATGAATATGCTCCTATCATGATATCAATCTTCAAAACTCACTTCTCTCTTAATCCATTGTTCTTCAAGTGTTACATTCATTTCCTGTAGTCATACCAAAGGAAGAATTGAGTTGTTCACTTGCTCTAAGTATTGCGGGTGTACTTTATAGGTTGTTGTATCCTGAAGGGTAGGGCAACGTAACCTGTTAAACCGACACATTGTCTTAGAGGGGCAAAAACTACTTTTAAGGACAATGATTACACGCATCAACCTAAAATATTGTTCTAATCAAGTATCGATGAAGAATGGTTTCTACCCTACAAAAGATAATAAAATTGTGATATACCAATATTTATCTTATGTGATTAGTTGTAGGAGAAGTAGCATTCATATCGCCAAATATTTCCAACAATCTTAAGAGTAGATTTTGGCTGCTGCTCCTACTACTTCTCAATCACATATATTCCTCCATGACAAATTTTTATCCACGTTAGCTACATGGATAATTTAAAAAGTGAAGCGTGATTGCAATATATGTGGGGCTTTCAGATAAATACCGCAAATTATTTGAGTCATTGAATTATTTCCTTAACTTAAAACATTTCTAATAGTTCGTTACATGAGCTTGTGTTTGTATGCCATCAAGGAGGCTAATTCCCAGTGATTTTGTGAATCTAAAGCTAAGGAGCAAGGCATATGTTTTATGTGTAATGGCTTTGATTCTTAAAACATAGTAGGCCATTCTTATATACTTTGAAAACGAAAATCAACTACGAGTCTCACGCTTGTGCTTTATTTTATTTGTTTTGAGAGAATACGATAATTTTATTGAGAGAGGTACTTAATGAGGATACATATCATGGTCAAGAAGCTCCCTAATAACATCAGGAGGTTCTTTGAACCAATGTATTGAGGTACCTTCAAATAAACTAGACATAGCAAGGCAATGAGCCACACTATTACATTCCCCGGGAACATAAGAAACTTTGCTTTCCACCAATTCTGATAACAGGACTTGAATGTCAGAGACTATGAACCCCAAATTAGAGGTCAGCAAGGTCACCCTTACAAGCCTCCTTAGCTTCAATGGAATCGGTCTCCACCTGCAACCTCAACAAGCCAAAACGCAGCGCCAGTCTGATTCCTTCGCGAATTGCTAGTAGCTCGACCTGTTTTATGGAGCAGCATCCTTGAGAACGCCAGCTACCTGCCACCATAAACTCCCCATTCACCCCACGAATCACCGCTCCAGCTCCACCGACACCCTCCCCAACTTCACAGCCCCATCGACGTTCAATTTGACCAATTGTCTCTGGGGGCCACCCATCTTAGTTGTTTGGGCACCTTCACACAACTGGGGTGTAGATTAGCTTGCCTAAACTCATGCAACCCGCTGAGAGCACGCTGGGCAACTTCTATGGGATAAAAAACTTTACCTTCCCAAAGAAATTTATTACGTTCCGTCCACAAGGACCCCATAAGCATCAAAACGGCATCGAAATTGACACCGTCTTTCACCAACAAGTGCATTACCCATTCCTTCGCCGTGTCTAAACCAGAGTCCTCCCCACTCAGCCCAACACGAGCAGCACACCACACAGCTCGAGAAAAACTGCATTCTCCAGTCACGTATCTTAGTCTCCCACAGGGCATCACAATGAGGGTACGAAGCATCAATCCGAACCCCTTTCTTACCCAGATTGACTCTAGTCGGAAGTATATCACTGCAAATGCGCCACCCACAAACCTTGACCTTCGGTGGAACCTGAGCCCTCCAGATGGCTTGCCGCAGGCCACTATAGGCCCCGCCAGTATTGGATGAAGATGACGCCGCAAGAGACGCTAGCGCACCACTATCCAAAGCTATTTTGTAAGCACTCTTCGCTGAGAATTGGTCCGTACGATCATAATGCCACATGATCCTATCTGGTACCCCTCGAAAGCTCAACGGAATGGAACTAATTAAACGGACCTCCTCCGCGTCAAAAAGGCTGTGGAGCAGATCAACTCTCCATAGTTTATTTTCATGAGAAATCAAGTAGCTAACCAAAAGATTCTCCATAGACCGAGGGGGCGGTGTGAGAATTCTAAAAGTCAGCGGATGAGGAACCCAACGATCTCGCCAAACAGAAACCGAGGGCCCATCTCCAATAGCCCACCGTGAGCCTTCTTCCAACACAAATCTAGCCCTCACAATACTCTTGCAGTAGTAAGAAGCCGTGGGTACTCCGAAGCTTCTCAGAATTGAAGTCTCTTGGGAATCAATGCCTTCCTGCTGGTGATATCCCTTTGCAACCAGGCAAGCTTTAAATCTTTCAACATTACCATTAGGCTTTTTCTTGACTCTAAAGACCCACTTGCAGCCAACAACATTTTGAGAGGAAGATGGAGGTACTAAGGTCAAAGTACCCGTGGATTGCAAGGCATTACATTCATCTTGCATAGCAGACCTTCAATGAGCATGCTTAGATGCTTGCAGATATGTAGTTGGTACATCATCAATATCTAAAGGAAGGAGATGCTTAGTAGCCACATAAACTTTAGGCTTATAGATTCCAGCTTTGGAACAAGTGAGCATGGGATGAATTTCACCCGTAGGCACTGGAGGAGATGGATCACTTGAAGAGAAAGGTTTTGTGAGGGAAATATGATCAAAATTATGAACAGAACTTGAAGATTCATGATTCTATGCTTCACCAATATCTGAACCTGAAAAAGGAGACCTTGAAGAGGACCTTGAAAGTGGAATAGAGAGCTGGAGATCCATAGAAGGTGAAATAGATTCTTGAATAGCAGCTGCTGCCTTAGGAAGAGATTGAAAGGGATATGCAGTTTCATTAAACTGCACACGTCTTGAAATATAAATTCTGCCAGTTTGTGGGCCAAAACACCTATACATACATTACAACTTCCTCCAAATGAATGACCAATACTGCAACCACTTACAGGACAAATCAATGACCGCAACGTAAACCGGGCGAGGTTGCATTACTTCATCCGACTCTACTACTGCACAATGAACCGGGCGAAAATAACAAAAAGAATATAAATTAGCACTGAAAACAAGTAAAAATAAAAACATAAATTACTTCGACTTTGTGTTCATTTTCTCAGCAATCAAACAGAAAATTATATCACAAGAAAGTGTGGGAAATTGACCAACCAGGAAGCTCCAGATCTACGAACGAGGACATCATTTCGGGGCAGGATTGAGGGTGCGAGTATCGAGCAATGGCCTAAGACGAAAGCCCCTGAGGGTTTCCGCACAGGGCACAGTTCCACGACCACTGATCCAGCTCGCAGAACGTGTTGAAATACGCCCAGCGGTTCTCGCACCTTGGCAACAGCTGGCCGTCCGATCCTTATGCCGGCGACTGGCCGTTCTCGTCATTCGTCGCGAACGGCGTCACCGAAACGCCCCATGGGATGCCTGAGCTCTCGTGGGCCCCAGCGTCGATCGGAAACCGCGACACGGAGGCCCGGACCGCCATACAGAGAGCGGGGTGTGGTGATTTTCGGGTTTTTTTTTTTTTAATTTTCTTTTTTGGGGATTTTCTCGGGAAACAAACGGCGGATGAGAAGTAGGACGGGTGCACGTTGGCTGACTGCTAGTTATGCCACGTCATGAACCAGTGGTTTTGTGCCAACTAGCAAGATGTTTGTTGATTTGGCATATCAGCTCTCATGCCACGTCATGAAAAGGTCCGGCCCGGTCCACCTTCAAAAATTTATTTATTTATTTTTGTGGTAACTTCAAAATTCTTTGGCCATGCTAGCTTAGAGCAATTAAAAAGGTCCCCAAGACTATTCAGTTTTCAATCCACATCAATGAATAGTAACTAATCTTAATAAAAAGTAATTGCTTTTTGCATCTTCATCCCTACATTGAATAGCCTTGGTAATAGGTAATAAAATATTAGTAATTTTTTATTTATAAAATAATACAAAATAATTTAATTTGTAATTTCGGATAATATTTTTAATCGTTCTTATTGCACCACGTGTCATTATTCGAAAAGACAATTATTCGTGATGGATTTTGATAAAATTTTTATCCAATGTTGTCGTGCCACGTGTCGTTACCTTTTCAGAATCGTTAATGATAGATTTCTGATAAGATTTTTAACCAATCACGTCACACTACGTGTCACAATCTGTTTACAATTTTTGAGGATAGATTTCGACCAGATTTTTAACGAATGACGGTATGCCACATGACATTATCTACAATCTAATCCTTTCTGAATTCTCCATATAATCCACCATCCATCCTTAGAAATCTCGCACCAATTTTCTGAAGATCTTTATCATTATTCATAGTTTCTGCTTCCTTCTTCACCAAAATCAAAATCTGTATCATTATTCTTAGTTTCTGCTTCCTTCTTACAATATCTTCTTCTTCAAGGATGATGTGGGAAATCGATCAGCAAGAGGAAGAATTGTTTAGCAAATTAGAAGGAATGTTCAATCTCCAGGTGGCCCAAAATGAGAAGGGAGAGGATGAGGGGCGTAGAAGGAGAGATGACGAAGCAAGAATGGGCAGAGCCTCGCATTCCCATCGAGTCATCCAAGCTGTAGGTCAGATCTGCAGGCCTAGTCATTCCGGAAGCCTTGATAGAAGCAAGCAAAAACGAGGTATGGAACTTTTGGACGATTATTTTGCCCGTAATAAGGCATTCCCTGATACGTACTTTAGACATCGTTTTAGAATGGAATGACATTTGTTCAACAAAATCATGATTGCTATTTGCAGCTAGGATTCTTACTTTGTGCAAAAGAATAATGCTTTTGGTGCTATAGGTCTCTTTCCTAAGCAAAAAATTATTATTGCTATGCTTGCATATAGAGCATCTGTAGACCAAGTGGATGGGATTGTGAGAATGGGGAAATCAACCATTCTTGAGTCCTTGATGAGGTGTTGCGGAGTAATCGAATCTATGTACATCGTATAGTACCTCCAGAGACCTACTAACATGGACTTGTAAAGGCTTCTGAAGAAGGGCGAGATGCAAGGTTTTCTTAGGATGATTAGAAGCATCGACTGTATGCATTGGACCTGGAAAAATTGTCCAAGTGCATGGCAAGGCCCTTATGGGGACCGAAAATGAGCAAAAAGTATCATTTTGGAGGCGATGACATCTTTTGATACATGGATTTGGTACGCATTTTTCGGGGTTCCAAGGGCTCAAAATGACCTCAATGTCCTTGTCCAATCCTTAGTGTACAACGATGTCTTACAAGGAAAGACACCAAAAGTACTGGGTCAATAAACATAAGTACGACGGGCCATACTACCTAGCAGACGACATTTACCGAAGGTGGTCATCATTTGTCAAAACAGTTCCACGTCCGCGAAGTGCAACGGAAAAACACTTTGCAAGTTGTCAAGAGGGCTGCAGGAAGGATGTGGAGTGTTGTTTTGGTATCTTTGAAGCTCGATGGGCAATTGTTAGGGGTGCTGCCATAATGTTTGAGGTAGAGTCGCTTCGATATATCGTGATGACGTGCATCATTCTTTACAACATGATTGTGGAAGATGAGTACGATTATGATGTCGTTGATGAATATGAGTACGACATTCTTGTACGTCTCCTTCGCACCACGTCTGCTTTCTTCAACTTCCAAAAATATTTAGAATTTGGAGACTTTCCTTCTAAAGTTGTGTTCATAATGTTACGATCTCATTGAGCCATTCTTTCTTCTCTAACCTGTTCCTTTTCTTGCCTAAGTAGCTCTCTTTGTCTCTCATTAGCTTGAAATTCTCTCTCAACAGCAACAGCTTTTGCCTCCTCTCTAGCCTTATCACCCTCAAATTTAGTCATTTTCAACACCAAACTCAATTCACCTTGGCTAGCAAGTTCCTCCATATACTTTGCATAATCATTCTTGGAAGCACTCCCTTTTCTCTTTGAAGCCTTCTTACCTTGAGGCCTAATTGGATAACGGGTCGTTCCCGACGCTTATTTAGGGGGGGGCGTTTCGGGCATAGAGTGTAGAGGGATGTTGTTCATAAAAACTTCGGGACAAACAAGCACAACTATGAATTTAGGACAATCTTTGACAATATTCCAACGTTCCCACCGGTTGAATGATTGCTTGTGGTTTTTGGATTTGGCACTATACCAAGATTGTGCTTGAAGTGTCTAACATAATGCGGGAGAGGAAATAATTATAATGAAAGTAGCTAACATGTAAATAATACAAAGAAATAATTATAATCAAAGTAGCTAACAAATAAATAATACAAACAAATAATTATAATGTAAATTTGGGTATAGTACAAACAAATAAATAATATATTGTTACCTGATCCGCTAAATTTTCCCCACTTGGAAGATTACTATTAGTTTATGCCAAGGCGTCTCTTCACGTACTAAACAATTGACTAAGTAGTTTCCAACGACTAGACATCGATTCTTTGGTTCTTTTCCCATCAATTTTCTCAAGAAAACTGGTATGAACAAGACTCCACATTTCTCGCAACTGCATCTTATTGCCCGTAAGAGAATCATGAGTAACTTCAACCCAGCTAGTACACAACGCAACATCTTCAAAAAGCGTCCAATTCGTACTTACATCAGTAGTCATTTTGTGGGAAAAAAATTGGATTGAAACTTCAAGAGAAAGATAGGAACGTGGTTGAAAGTAGTTGAGAAAATTTGAAATTGTGGTGTGAGGTAGAAATTTTTTTTATTAATTTTTTACATTTTTTTAAAATTTTTATTCACCTAATTAATCTCTACCATTGGATTAAAAAAAATTGAATTCCAACACTCCAAATTGTGCCATGTGGCACAACAATAACATTTTAGAATTTTGAACTGTTTTTTTTAATTTATAAAGGCGAATAACGTGGACCGTTGATCTCAGATCCAACGGCTGAAATTAAATAAAGTTTTTAAATTTTTGTTACTGTTGCAAATCCAACGTACCACAAATTGTTGCCGTTGAAATCCAACAGACGAGGGGAAGCCACGTGGCTTCCCAGCGGTAACATTTTCAGACTACGCCGAGAGCCCCGCTTCTGAAATCATGTCAGACGACGCGCGCCAACGCTCCTAACAGAAAATAAAATAAAAAAAGTGGCTGACGTCTGGGCGACGTCAGCCTTGCGTTAGGTCGCCTTCGGGCTCTCGGGATAGCAACTCGTGTCAGGCCTCTCCCTCGGGCTGGCACACGCTAAGGCAAGTCGGCCGCCCTATCTGGCCTTGTTCCATCACCAGTCCATTGGGCTAAAGACCACGGTGGAACTGCTCTTATGATATTGCCTGTTGCGATTCTATAAATTTGGCACTTTTCGTCGCACTCTGGTATTTTATGTCAAAGATGCAACAGACAAAAATTTGTACACATTTTTATATCTGGTATCTCCTGTTAATGATGCAACGAATAAAAAATTGTATATATTTTCATATCATTAAACAGAAAGTTAGAGTTACAGTGTACTAAATGAAAGAATTAGATTTAGTTATATAAATGTTTCCCCAATAATCACGATTATAACATCCTTGCAATGCAACCAAGTTAGATGAAGCAGATTTTTGATATGGCATGATTGTTACCCTCCCATTTGAAAGAAGCTGAATCAAGAAGCTTAATGTCTTATCTACATATCGATATTAAGAACATATTACGATACATTGGATTAGAATCAAGAGACATTTTTAACATACATTGTGACACTTATTTTTAATTCATTAATTTACATTAAAAATTATAATCAATGGTTGAGATTGAATCTGATACTAATTAAAAAATAAATTCTTCCATTCCGTTATTGGTAACATGAAACATACAACTTACAAAACTTGAGTCATGCATGAAATGATAACAAAAAAATTGAGCGTTTAGTTTTTGAGTTCACTTGTTAGTTTCTAACAAAATTGTAGGGAGGCATTTAAAGTTATGATTTTAAAGGTTTATTTTTCAATCAGTTGTTTAATTATAAAAACATAAACAAACAATGGCTATTTTTTTGTATCTGATTGGCTAAGAGAAAAATGTTGTGCTTTGTGATTAAGTTTCTAGGTTGAAAAGTTCATAAAAAAGTGATGAAATTTAACATTGGTAGTTTAGAGACCTAAAATGAAAACATAAACAAACAACATAACTAAATTGAAAAAGATAATTCAATCCAATGGTTGTTTTGAAGTGAAATTTTATCTTGTTTGATTTCGGAGAACTGCCAATCAAACAAGTTCATAAAAAAAATTTAAAATAACACGTCCAAAAATTAGCTTAAGAAAAGTTAAGACAAAAATAAATGTACCGCGTCATCAAATTACTACAAAAATAAATATATAGCCCTATATAGAGCTTGAAAGGTATATTGCCCCTCATTGGAGAGATTCTTCTTTAGAGTGAAAGATTCTTCAGAACTTTAAATTGGGCTATATCTACTATCTTTTTAGCTTTGTATAGAGTCCCTCTTTGGGGATGCCATTAAGATAAGCATATCATTTCATTCTCTTTCGTCATGATCTCCTGATAAATTTAAGGGCATGTTTACTTACAAAGAATAAGAAATATTATTTTGATTCGTGAGTTTTCTGCCTTTACAAAAATGTGAGTAGGGGAATCATTTTACTCCTTAACTTTTTCCTGTGTTTACTTACATGCAA